TATATATATATATATTTAAAAATGTTTTTATATATAATACAATATATAATATAAGAAAAAATTTATTTATTTTTTATATTATATTACTCACTCTTAAATGTCGGTCTGTTTTTTCCTCTTAACTTTGTAGTGCCATCTCAGTAGAACTGTACTACATCTTTGCCACCGCGTGGGGTCGTGAACACTACACACTCTACGGCATCCTGTTGTGTGTGTTTGTCATCCTGCTCTCGGTGGGCGCCTGCATCTCTGTGGCCCTCACCTACTTCCTGCTCTCAGGCGAGGACTACCGCTGGTGGTGGAGAAGTGTTCTGAGCACCGGCTCCACTGGCATCTTTATATTTGTTTACTCACTCTTCTACTACCACAATCGCTCCAACATGAGCGGCCTTGTACAGAGCGTCGAATTCTTCGGATATTCCTTGCTCACTGCGTTTGTTTTCTCGCTCATGCTGGGAACGGTCTCCTTCTGGGCTTCTCTGGCTTTTATTCGTTACATCTACCGTAGCCTTAAGATGGACTGAGTTTGTTTCCTCTCAAGCTGAGCCCCTCAAATGGGGAAGAGACTCATGGACCAGGCCCTCATGGAACCCTGCATGTGCAGGTTTTGTGTTGCTGAAGTATCAAACTAAATAAGCTGTTTCTGATGCCAGTCTTAAAAGGAAGGGAACAGACAATGTGACTGACTAAAGACTAATTTTATTTTATTTTGCTCACCAACACCCTGACACTTAATTCACATAGATATATATATAGTTGCTAGATTATATGCACATCAAATACAGACGTATTTGAGAGTCATTTTGGATCGTTTGTGCGGAATTGGAAAGCTTTTCATACTTCAAATGTTGCATACCAAGTATCCAAGACTTGAAAGTTCCGTTTTGGATTTTGTTAATGTAGTGAACATGACTAAAATGATTAAATGTCAGTTTCAAAACATAATGGGAAAGAATCAGAGGCCTTCATACATATCTATTGTTTCAAAGACCATTGAGGAGATAAAGCACTTATATGTACTGTAGATGGGTTTACTTGATGATTATAGGTGGATGTTGGTTATATGGAAGGATATTATAATCTTTGAGGTAAAGAGATGTGTCATATTGTTTTCAAAGGGTGCCGTATACACATTTTGACCAAAAGAGCAGTTTTGGAGTGAAGATTTAACATGAGGAAGCTGAAGAAATGAAGAATTGATTATGGAAGCAATACCATGCTCTAAAGTCGCCATCAACTGTGATCTGTTATTATACTGTTTTCAATAAAGTCACTTTTATTATGGTAAGAGAAATAAATGTGAGTGAAATGCAACAACGCTGGTGTCTATCATATAAATGTAAATTGAAAATGGCTGTGTAAATTGATTTCAAGCTCACTCTCAAACATGTCTTGCCGTTTTGACCCTTGTTCTTATACACTACCATTAAAAAGTTTGGAGTCGGTAAGCTTTTTAATGTTTTTGAAAGAAGTCTCTTTCACCAAGGCTCCATTTATTTGATCAAAAATACAGTAGAAAGTAATAAGTTGCACCCACTATGATGTGATCCGCAGGAAGGGGCAGACTTAACCAATAAGCTCCTGCTTAGGGCCTCAGGGAATCCCATCTGATACTGGCCAAACAGATTTGACAAATGCTCTAGTGCGGATTTGTGTTTGCTCTTTGAAGAGCGTCAAAGGTTTCTATTTACAACATATTTTTGCTGCGTTGAGCAAAGTAGCCAATCACAGACATGAGTGTTGATTTCTTGAATGCAATGGCCAATCAGAGGCATTTAAGTTAGAATCCATTCAACGCTTAAAATGCCAGAGTCTTTTCATTGCTGAGTTCTGTGCGGTCACGAATCCTCTCATTAATTGTAAAAAAACAAAGTGTAGACACGGTGTAAAGAACATTCTGCATGCAATGTATACAACTATGTGGATTGTAAAAGAACTTCATCGTGAGATCGCGAAATTAAAGTGAGTGACAGCTTTTTAGTTATTTTGAAGGAAGTGCTCTTCGCATGCTTTCTTGGTTATATATAATCAATACAGAATTTCAATACAAGTTTTGTTTTTCAAGCTGTTAAGAGGACCAAAGGCCACATACGCGCTGCAAAATTTTGGGAGTGACATCCGCATATAAATGTGGGATTTACTCCCGAAATTGCAATCCATGGAACAAAAATATGTCAAATCAAATGTGTGCCTCACATACCCTAAAAAGTGAAGCCAAAACATTTTGATCTGGTGGCTGGCTGCATTATAGGTCATAAACCCCACCCTCCTCATGTAAACAAATAGAATGTAATCCAAAAATTCAAATAATTTTTTTCCGCAAAGATGTTCTCCGTCATAGGTGGTTCTTATCACGGTGATGTTAAAAGGGTTTTGGTTTTCCCCAAGAAGTTGCCTTTTAGATTTTTGATACTATAAAAACAGGGTGTGATTTCATGATTGCGTGTTTGTGATTGGGTCTGTGGGAGTTTGGACGGGACTTTGATATTGAGGGTCCAGCTCATGATCGGTACTGCACAGACTGCAAATGATGTCAGACACATGACAGTGGCCATATCTGGGATATTTTGGCTTAACTTTTCTAGTGTAAGGAAGTGAAGACGTGTGGCCATCACTTCTTACAGTCTGTGTGTCAAACTAGATGTCATTAACAGTGTTGGGGGTAACTCATTACAAGTAACGCGAGTTACGTAATCAGATTACTTTTTTCAAGTAACTAGTAAAGCATTACTTTTTAATTTACAAGAGAATATCTGAGTTACTTTTTCAAATAAGTAACGCATGTTACTTTTTTTTTTCAATTTATTTACAACTCCTGTCCCCATGTTGAGAGAAATCAGAAGATGTTACTGTAGTTCTAAAATAAATATGAATATGCATTAATTCATC